ACAATGATCCTCCTCAATGTTTGGAAAAGAGTTTCAATCTCCAATGCTTCACAAGCCTTTTGCAGATATACTCTATGGTAATTGCTGTTTAGTTGCCATTGCGAAAAAGTATTTCAGTTCCTATCAACTTGCTATGAAAATATATATGATTGAATAATACATTTCTATGCAGCTTATTCGCTATCATCCGATCTATTGTCTTTCAGATTTTCTGATTAAGGTTGTTTCTCATTGTTTGTCCCAGTGGAATACTGAGGTCTCTAATACTAAAATATATGTGATGGCGCATTTAAAGTAATTCAATCCAGATTAATTACTGCTCCCTATATATGCTTCCATTCTTGATTCAGAGTGAGATGTCAGTGTTGTTGAGTTGTTTTTATCAAGTTTCGCTCAGCATTAATTACACTATCGGATGCCTGGATCCTACAATCTTCGCACAAAGATCAAACTGGTACTTTGTATTCCTCAGAATGCAATGCATACATGATTGAAGACTTCTTCTGAAGAATAAACATCAACAGGCAGTATTGCCCATAGATAATTCCCCATGAAGCTGGTTTATGAAAACCCTAACTTTTACAGGTTCATTGGAAGGTTTGTAGGTTTCATTGAATCCCTCGACCACTAATCTTGCTGTAATCACGTACCAAGGCATTAGTAATATATATATCTATATATATATCACTACCACAAAAATGCTAAATAATCTCGGAAAATTGTCTCGGAAAATATAGCCTCGAATGGTGTCATGATTGTTTGCGATAAAATATAGTCTCAGATGTTGTCATGATTGTTCGAGACAAAATTTAGTCTCGACGGAGTTTGCGGGAATTCTCGAGACATTTTATTGTCACGACAATCTCTCAGTCAACGTGACGAGACAATATATCTCGTCATTTTGTGACTTTCAATATTGTCTAGAGCAAACGGCCACAGAAACGGTGTCGAGACAATTGCCGAGATTACTCAATTAATTGTCTCGTATTCATAAACACGCCGAGATAATTTTCCTGAGACAATTTTCTATTTTTCTGGTAGTGATATGTATGGAATTATACAACTATAATTTGGACCTGTATTCTCATTTCCAACCTCTGTAAAAATAACCTAAAAACAAGAAGAGAAAAAAAATAGTGAAATGGCCTTTCTTTTTCTTGCAAGAACTGTCCAAATAAAATAAAAAATAGAAAAAAAAAAATCAAAGCCCAATTCGAAACCCTAATTTGTGTGCAGTTGAGGCCAGGCGCGGCAATAATTATTTCAACTATCATACACATCACTCTGTGACGTTGGCCCTCTCTATAAAACTCCTGCGTCCATTACCACTCTTCACACACTCTGAAACCCATTTGCTTAGTTTGTATGACATTCCAATACCGCTGCTGCAGGTACAAATCTGCCCACAGGTCTGCCCAAAGACTTATATCTATATCTATCTATATATACCAACGCTTCTCCGTGACGATATATACATGAGGAATTCATTTGTAGGTTTTTTTTTCTTGTCTGTGTAACTGTCTATATATACCAACGCTTCTCCGTGACGATATATACATGAGGAAGTCATTTGTAGGTTTTTTTTTCTTGTCTGTGTAACTGTTTGTGTCACCGTAGAATTGTTGATCGTCATCTTACAAATCCTTTGAGTTGCGCTTTCATTCTCTGGCTCTTTACTTTGTCCATCTGAAGCTAATATGTGGTTCCATGTCCTGGATCTGATCTCCACCTCCTTGTCTACTCTATCCTTTCTCTTTTCACCATTGGACTTTCTTTTCATGAAAAGGAAAACTACCGTTTAGATATCTACGTTTAGATATCTAAGTTGGTGGATTTTTAAAAAATGTTATTTTTTTTTCATCAATTTGGGGTCTTTTTCAAGAAAAGTAAACCCAAGTGTTTTGATTTCTTGATTGATACTTTTTAAATGATTTTCTAATTAAAAAGTTTAGAATCCTCAGATCTAGTTTCTAAAAAATCAGATCTAATGAGAATATATTATCTTGAAATAGGAGATAATGCTTCTTATTAATAAATCACTAAAGTTGCATATACATCATATGTTGTTGTACTTTCATTGAATATAAAAGAAAATGTTTTATCAGTTGTAAATGTAACAAATGCTATTGTTTCCAGATGATAAAAGAAGAAAATGAAGTTGCATAGAAAAGCAGAAGTTGCTGGTACCAATTATGACCTTTATATGGCATACAAAGGTCCCGAGGAAAAGAAAGAAGCTTCGTCCCTGTAGAGAGCATAAAAAACAGTTCGGGCGCAAAGCACACATCTGTTTGAGTATCTCCAAAGAATCATGTGCCAAAGGAGAGAGCTCTGGTGAGTGTGGCAGAGCCAGACGATTGGGAGGATGATAATGCGGAAATCTCCCCACAGCTGGATCATCAAAGAATGCATCACCTAAACTATAATATTGGTTTGAGTTTTATATTTAAATAAAATTTTATGTGATATTTTGTAAGAGAAAAGAATATATTTTTTTTATTGATGAGAAGAACACTCAATCATTAATTTGTCGAAAATATTTGTAAATATCAACATTGATCAATAGTAAAATGTGAAGTTTTTCTATCTCATGCATACAAGTAATTTATGTTGTTGCTTTACTCTTCTCTCATTCTTACTTTCTTTCTTGATGTAAATGAATACATAATTTATTTTCTTAGGACACGATTAAGTGCCCCAGAGTGATTTTAAATCTATGAACACTTCATTTTATCCTGAATCATATTTCAGATTTTACAAACATAGGGCATTGTGATGCAATGCACACAAGCATTGTTTATCATTATTGACAGTAATTTATATATATATATATATCATAAAATATGATTACGACTAAAGGTCAAAAATCTTATATAAAATACACAATTAAGAATTTAAAAACCTAAGCACCTAAGCGAATAAAATGTCCCAATCATGTAAGAGCCGCAGCCCAAATACTTCAAATAGCTTCCACCACCTAGGCCAGCAGAACATAGACAATTATTGAAAGACTAACAAGACAAGACAAGATGAAAAATCATCCATGATCTTAAAGAAACCCTCGCACAACCGATTGACCTTCTTCAAGATCTATATTGTTGTTTTGTCGCACTCCGAGTGCAAGGCCAAAAAAGAAGAAGAAAATTTGGCCTTGACAAAGGGTAACTTTTGAATTAAAGAATAAGCAATAGAAAAAGAGAATATTTCAGCTGTATATTTTAAAAGATGGTGGTGAAGGAATACTCTCTGGCACTACATGGATAGTTAGTTATATTCACACAATCATGCAAGTGGCCATCTGCTATATTGCTTAAAACATGTATCCCTCCAGATGAATCACCATCGATCAATAGGCAGATTTCCACAGGCAGGATAACATCATGCTTGATATTTCAGAACCCGATAATGTAATAGATTCTTTCTAGGGTTATAGGTTTCATCAATCAGACATTAATTTCCTCATACTGCATATAAGAATACTTTTAACATTTTATAAAAATAAAACTAATAATTGAAGCTGTTAATTAATTTTGTTCCTAACTTCTGTGCACATATATATATGTATATATATATATATTAATTAACAGAACTATTAAAAATATATATATACAGGCACATGCACGTAATATAAGGCTGATGTTTTCCTGGACAAAGGCCCAATTCTGAAGCTTAATTTTAATTTTCTGCTTGTATTGCCCAATTTAAACCCTAGAAACATATTTAGTTTACAAGCCAAAAAAATACAAGCACAAGCACATAATATAAGGCTGATGCTTTCCTGGACAAAAGTCCAATTCTGAAGCATAATTTTAATTTTATGCAGACCGAAATAAAATTATGTTGTATTGTCCAATTTAAACCCTAGAACATATTAAGTTGACGAGCCAAAAAAAAAAATACAGGCATAGGCACATAATATAAGGCTGATGCTTTTCTGGACAAAAGCCCAATTCTGAAGCATCATTTTAATTTTTTGCAGACGGAAAGAAAATTATGTTGTATTGATCAATTTAAACCCTAGAAACATATTAAGTTGACGAGCAAAAAAAATACAAGGAAGCCAATTTGCCAATTGATCATTTCAAAGATGATAACTTTGTCCTAAAAATATATGAACAATCAGTCCCCCTAATTCCCAATTATTCAACGTAGGTAGAAATGTGTATATATGTGTGTGCGTGTATTTGTCATCATCTTTGCTCCATATAATTGAAATATATGCAGTAAGTTGAACTGCAAATGTGCAGAGCTCTAGCTTCCAAAAATTCACTGTCAGAACCAATTCTATGCATAGAAGAATTTCTAAAGGTTGAGCTCTTGGGGAAAGATCCAATGGATAGATAGTACTAAATTGGTGCTAAAAATGTAGGAATTTTTTTTTTTTTTTTTCTCCGTCTTGATTAAAACCTTGAATTATATATCATCCATTTCATTACAAAATGTACACAGTACACCATAATTGCTTGGTTAATTGTTTCAGCCTAGGGAAGGTGAACATCCTCAGCCACTCCCTCGTAACAGATTCATCTTCCCATTGTGGAACTCGACAAGATTTTTGAAGACCATTTCTTTGGCTCTTTCATCCCAGTTCTAAGCCGAGGGCTACCCGATCATATTTATATTAGCCATAAGTTGTTTGTGAATCTACTTCAAGATAATAATAATAATAATAAGTCGCGCAAGAGATAGCTAGTGGTGACTCGTAACCATGAAATTATGAGTTCAAACCACCTGCCACACATTCGGGACAAAGATATATGGGAAAATTTACGCAAATAACGATTTTTGCTAACACTTAGAATATATTTTTCCACCAAGAGGACAAAAGCGATAATGAGATATACATACTGTATATTTTTTTGCAATTTTCTCGAGACTATATACACACAGGCTTTGTTTACTTAATGTTACTTGTAACTTGAGAGTTCAATAATTTTACAAAATTAAATCATATTTCATTGATACCTAAACTCAGATACCTATATGCCCCAACCAGGCCATCAATTATGTCTATTGGCAGCATGGAACAACTCATCCCGAACCAAGTTCCTGACCTGAGCAGCTTGTGTCGAGTCATTGAGGAACATCCGGTAAAACTGGTTATCAAATATCGTGTTTGGGGACACGAACTGCAACGGAATTTTCCTCAGAACATTGCGAATCTCCAAAGTATTGTAGGTAAAATGCAATATCCCTCCTTCTCCTGGCTCAAATTTGAAGCCGGGCGTAAGAGAGTGGCCGTAGATATTCACCACCCCAATACTGTCAGAATTAAACAATAGCATTAACATATAAAATCCACATTATAAGAATAGAACCATTAAGTTCATGTGTTCATACATGTTCATTTGTTTGTGATAATCTCATGAAATTAGAAGTTCTCAACTGTAATTTTCCTTAAGTTTATGAATGAATGGTATTACGAATATAAAGTTGAAGAATAGATTAGGAAGTTATGTAGATGAATTAATATATTTAATGTAAGAGTGAAGAAGTTATTAGTAAGCTACCGGTGATAGTACATGTTGTCAACGGGATCCTGCTGCACCATCCCTAAAAGTTCGATTTTAAGAAATCCTCCAAGACACAGGACTGGTTCAGGCAGTGTGAATCTCTGCAACCCATATATCTGCACACAAATCATGTTATTATAAAATTACATTCTGATGCAGCAAAGTGAAGACATACACAACAATTAGACAACAAATTGAATTAAGCTCAATATTTATTTATTCAGAAATATTTACAAATGAGTAAGCATAAATTATGTATATCTAAAAAAGATATTAGAGGTTCACATAAGCATATGTTACAAATAAATAAATAAAGGATGTTTTCTTTTTGTAATACTTATTAATGATATAAAAACTAACCTGTTCCATAGGAAATTCAGCTGATGTATAACCCCAGTTGAAGTGCTCGTCTACAATATGGGACAACGGAAAGTTGTTTGCATTCATAGCGAAATACCCGGGGCATCTTGCATATCCCATCCTAAATCGGACCGATCTAGCTGAATGTACAAAGTTTCCTTGATGCAACCATTCTGCAAAAAATAGAATAGCCAAATTATGGTACAAACGAACAGATTGTTTAAATGTAAATAAGGTTGAAAGGGATGGAAGATAATATTAATTGTACCTAGATAAGGTCGTATATTAATGTCGGTGATTACACGCATGCTGCCATCTAACTTGAAAAGTATGCTTTCACAAATATCAGGATGAGCATGACCCACACTTGACCAATATGATGGTTTTGTGTTATACGAATCTGATTGGAGCAGCACATTGACGACGCTCTCCTTAGGGTAATTACGAGTAGAGGAAGCTCCCATAACATACTTCCTCACATCCTTGGAGAACACCCTAGCTTTGGACAAGGCTATACGTAATTTGTTATACATATTGTGTTCCTTTTCCAGATAAATAAAGGTTGGGACAAAATCCCTATTCCAACGCCACATTCGATTAATACTAGAAGATCCGTCGTATAGTGCTTCGATCATTGGAGCTCTCTGAAAACACCTAGTCCGGGATACATTGTTCCGGACAACTTCAAAAATGAAATACAATATTAGCTACTATAATGGATAAATGTTGAATATATCGTGAATAAGATAGATATACATATATATATACATATGACGGAAATTCAACTTGAATTAGTAGAAGATTATCGAAGAATCTAGAAGAAACTAGAAAATCGGTGACAATCTAGAATATAGTAGAAAGTAAAGGAAGGTTCGAGAAAATGAAGACTCTAGAGACATCAAGAATATTCAGCAATTTTTCGGTGCGGGCTATTATATTTTTGGGCTTTAAAATCAGTTGGGTTGCTTTTAATTAATGCGGGCTCTGTCATTGTAATAAGGTACTATTTATAATCCATTTAATTGTCAATGCAATTCTATTTTCTTAAAAAGAAAGGGAGAGGAAGTATATTCAATGATCTAGAATGTTCTAATAAAAACGAGTCGGAGTTAAGTGAGTTAGTGCGCGAGCTAGTGTGTTGTAGCAAAAAAAAAACATTCTCCTTCAATAAAATCCTTTTGTTTTTTTGTTACATTTGAGTCTCCCTATATGCATCAATATATATTAATGTGAAACGATCCAACCAGCCTAGTTTCTATCGACATGAAATATATGTACTCCACTTAAATAAGAAGATGTATTTTGCAAAGAAACTTATCTGCACTCACCAAAGTTGTACCAATTGCGGGATACGGTAGAAAGCCTAATGATGTCTAAAGGATCATCGAGGAATGATAGGATTAGTAGGATAACTTCGAAAGGGAAGTAGGCTAGGAAGTCTGCCATTGAAGTACTCGTACACTGCAATCAAATTCAAGACATGTTAATTATTTTAATTCAAGTAAGTTTTATTCCATCAAAACACATACTAGTCATGTAGAACACTGGGTTTTTTCTCTATGTAAAAAATTTAAGCCTATAAGAATTATGGTGGTGTAGTAAAATATAACTATGTCATCTTACTTAAAACGTTGTCTTAATGGAAAATAACATCATTCCTAATTAGGTATAATTTAAGTACGATTATTATATAAATTTTAAAGATTTTAGCTTAGATCATAAATGGACAAATCGTAATACACCATAATTTAGAAGGCAAACAAATTGATAAATCCATATATATATATTATATATTCATTCATAATTTATATTGATATTTCAGTTAAGAAACCCCTTCTTTGTAATTTAAGTAATTATTGCAGATCTATAAATCCGAAGGTTGACTGAAATTATAAATTGAATTAATATTTTTTTTTATTTGACTATTGTTATTTTTAAATTTTTTTTTATATAAAATTAAGGCAGATTTGAAGCTTAGATGACTAAATTTAATTAAAGATTTAGTTAACATTGATTTAATATGAATTCAAAATTTTCACAAATAAGAAATAATAATTATTATCGGTAAAAAAAACAATTATTTTCCAAATAAGGAGAAAGATTGAAAAGAACAAAACAAATGACAAATATCAAATTTAAAACTAGATCTATCATTTTTTCTATTAAAAAAAAAAAAAAAAAAAGAGAGATCCATCAACTTAGAAAAGAAAATCCTTGATTTGTTGACACCAACGAAGAACCAGACAGCTCAGATCGTAGGAAAAAAAAAAAAAAAAAGGACGACTGACTCCAGAACGAGGTGGAGAAGAAGAGGACATCGATCATTACCTCAGATAAACAAATCAAGCAGGCACAAAGAAACTCGACGGGTCTGCAAGAAGGAAACAAAACTGCTGTTCAGAAAGGCAAACTAAACACAAAGAAGGAAAAGAAACTCCAACTGTCAACCAGACTTCACGTCGGGGATATGCATTTATATTTACATATATACACAGACATACAGTACAGACGATGGACATGTCTTTGGAAGTGAATGTGTTTGTGTGTGTGTGTGTGTGTGTGTGCCCGGACAGCTTCACCTCCTAAGAAACTTCTGACAAAGATATAGCTGCTGCGGAAATGTTGATACAAACGATGGAAGCGGTTCTGTGGTGACACTGCGGGTTTTATTGAGAGGGAGTAAAGGGCAACGTCAGATTCTGGTGCTTTATGACGTCTGATACATTTGTAATGATGGGCCGATTATATCCCTTTCTGTGCCTATATATATTGGTTTAATTTGGACAGAAAATTACAGTAGGTATTCGTTCTGTCCACTTTTTGCAGCTACGGGAAAATCGAGGCTTGGATTTGGGCTTTTTTCTGTTCAAATTGAGAAAAAATGTACTTTTTCTGTTTGGACAGTTGCCTGTAAAGAACCCTTGGGAACATGAACCCTACTGTGTACCTGCATTTCTTCTTCCTTATTTTTTTCTTTTGGACATTAACAAAGGTAGAGACTGTTGTGCTTTATTAATCTTTTTTAAATGAGGCTTCATGTTATCCTGCTTCTGAACTAATTAATAGTACCTGTTTTGATGGTGATTTTTCAGAAGATATTTCGAATGCTTTTCTTTAACCTATGAGGAGAATCATCCTCGAATGAGTACTAGCTAGCCTATGGGATTACCTTAAGTAGGGAGTGATTGATTTTCATCCATGCCCTTAACTGAAACCACTCAATCAACTTGTTTGAGATAATTCACGAAGATATTTACAAAGGTTTTTTTCTCATAATTGAAAATCTATACACTGTTCAAACATACAAGGGGAACGATTACCTAATGAAGGGAAGCTCATGTGAGGCACTTCAAGTAGGCAAATGGTACATCTTCATTTGTGCCTTACTCGGCATAGCATCATCAAGTACTTCAAAACCCATGGACATTAAAACCTGAAAAAAAAATTATAATAATAATAGTTAATATTTGAGCATTAGTAGACACACACACGAGTGACAATATCCAGTCTTGTAAGAGATAGCTAATGATGTAGGGTGAACTTAGTGATTCGTAAAGTCATAAATTCAAATTGTTAATGTCTCTAGATTTGCCATACAAGATTATGACATGCATCCAAGGGCAAAAACATGGGGAAAAAATAAGGAACAATAACTATTGAAGCTAATATACAGAGTTATTTGATCCATACCTGAAACTGTAAATTGATGTCCTCAACGCCAATCATAGTGCATCATAGTACATCACTTCCGTTATCATATTCATTACTTATGCCGCCTGCGTTGATCCATCCTCTAGGAGCTGAAGGTAAACTCTCTCCTCAACCAGCGAGTTGCGAGGCACAAAATAGAGTGGGATTTGCCTCAGAACATTATGTACTTCTAAAGCATTGTAGGTCAATTGCATTTCCCCTCCTTCTATCGTCCGAACATCGAAGGCTGGCTTTAGAGAGTGCCCATAAATGTTCACCCTCACGATGCTGTCAGAATAAAATAGTGGCATGTATTTTTAAAACTCAAAATATAGAGACCAATTCATTTTCAGTGTTTAATGTTACTTTTTTGCACATTCCTCATGGAATTATAATCTTTCTGGTGTACTTTCCTTTTAAGCTTATGAATGAACTAATATAATAGATATAAGATTGAAAAATGGATTACTAAGTTGAATGGATTTAAATTATGGATGTATAATTGAAGAATGGACTGTAAATACCAGTGATAGTACTTGCTATTGAATGGATCCCTTTCCACTATGCCTATGAGTTCGACCTTCAAAAACCCTCCTACACATAGGACAGGTTCAGGCAGCTTGAATCTCTGCAGCTCATATATCTGCAAATAATTCATATTGACAAATATTTGCATTGTGATGGAGCAGAGGATTGACATAACATATACAATTTTTATCCAAAACTAATTTGGAATTGGGACAAAAAATCAATTTAAACTCAATATAATCTTGAAATATTATTTAGACATAGACTATATGTATAAAATAAATATTAGACTTCACATAAGACACAACAAAAAAAAAAAATTTAAGCTGAATTCAATGTTAGATGTTTCTTTATTTGGAAATAAAAAGAAAACAATGTTTCCTTATAGTTTTTGAAAAAATATATATATATATATATGTATTGACTTACCTGTTCCATCGGAAATTTGGGTGATGTATAACGCCAGGTGAAGCATTCATCATTTAAATGGTTTAATGGCAAGTCGGTTGCATCGATGTTCAAATATCTAGGGAAACTGGCATGTCCCATTTTAAATCGGACCGAGCTAGCTGAGTATATAAAATCTCCTTGACACAAGCACACTGCATGGAAAATTAAACAAGAATAGCCAAATTAGGTACATACCCTTGTATGAAATAATTGCATAGATCTATGTAGTAAATATAGAAAATGATGGAAGAAATTCAAAATGTACCTAGATAAGGCCGAATATCAATATGAGTAACTATGCATATGCCACCATCTAGTTTGAAGACTATGCTATGACAAACATCAGCATGAGCATGGCCAGTGCTGGACCAGTATGATGTCTCAAAGTTATATGAGTCGGACGGTAGCAGCACATTGACAACACTATGCATGGGATAACATCGGGTGGAGGAAGCCCCAATGACATACTGGACAATGTCTTTAGGGTTTATACTTGCTTTGGATAAAGCAAAAAGTAGATAATTGAACACTTTGTGTTGTGTTTCAAGAGCATGAAATGTGAGGAAATTGTTCCGGTTCGCATGCTCAAAAAGTCCGACTGGTCCAATGTGTATACCTTCAAGCATTGGTGCTCTCTTCAAACATCTGACTTTGGAAATGCTGTTTCTTACAACTTCAACAACAAAAAAAAAAAAAAAAAGGAAAACAGAATGAGTGAATATAATCGATGAAAATGATATATCTTTTTTCATGATATATAGAGCCTTGATAAAATCAATTAACAAAAACTATGTACATGAAATATATAGATATATGTTGCATGAATTATGGGCACATAAATGCATATATTTAAGAAACCTACTCATAGATTTTTTTATTACACAAGACTCTAAGCCCATATTTTCCAGTATGTATGCATACGATGAGAATTAAAATGTTATGTGGTGAAAACAGATAAATGATGATA